ACGGACAGACGGACAGACGGACAGACGGACAGACGGACAGACGGACAGACGGACAGACGGACAGACGGACAGACGGACAGACGGACAGACGGACAGACGGACAGACGGACAGACGGACAGACGGACAGACGGACAGACGGACAGACGGACAGACGGACAGACGGACAGACGGACAGACGGACAGACGGACAGACGGACAGACGGACAGACGGACAGACGGACAGACGGACAGACGGACAGACGGACAGACGGACAGACGGACAGACGGACAGACGGACAGACGGACAGACGGACAGACGGACAGACGGACAGACGGACAGACGGACAGACGGACAGACGGACAGACGGACAGACGGACAGACGGACAGACGGACAGACGGACAGACGGACAGACGGACAGACGGACAGACGGACAGACGGACAGACGGACAGACGGACAGACGGACAGACGGACAGACGGACAGACGGACAGACGGACAGACGGACAGACGGACAGACGGACAGACGGACAGACGGACAGACGGACAGACGGACAGACGGACAGACGGACAGACGGACAGACGGACAGACGGACAGACGGACAGACGGACAGACGGACAGACGGACAGACGGACAGACGGACAGACGGACAGACGGACAGACGGACAGACGGACAGACGGACAGACGGACAGACGGACAGACGGACAGACGGACAGACGGACAGACGGACAGACGGACAGACGGACAGACGGACAGACGGACAGACGGACAGACGGACAGACGGACAGACGGACAGACGGACAGACGGACAGACGGACAGACGGACAGACGGACAGACGGACAGACGGACAGACGGACAGACGGACAGACGGACAGACGGACAGACGGACAGACGGACAGACGGACAGACGGACAGACGGACAGACGGACAGACGGACAGACGGACAGACGGACAGACGGACAGACGGACAGACGGACAGACGGACAGACGGACAGACGGACAGACGGACAGACGGACAGACGGACAGACGGACAGACGGACAGACGGACAGACGGACAGACGGACAGACGGACAGACGGACAGACGGACAGACGGACAGACGGACAGACGGACAGACGGACAGACGGACAGACGGACAGACGGACAGACGGACAGACGGACAGACGGACAGACGGACAGACGGACAGACGGACAGACGGACAGACGGACAGACGGACAGACGGACAGACGGACAGACGGACAGACGGACAGACGGACAGACGGACAGACGGACAGACGGACAGACGGACAGACGGACAGACGGACAGACGGACAGACGGACAGACGGACAGACGGACAGACGGACAGACGGACAGACGGACAGACGGACAGACGGACAGACGGACAGACGGACAGACGGACAGACGGACAGACGGACAGACGGACAGACGGACAGACGGACAGACGGACAGACGGACAGACGGACAGACGGACAGACGGACAGACGGACAGACGGACAGACGGACAGACGGACAGACGGACAGACGGACAGACGGACAGACGGACAGACGGACAGACGGACAGACGGACAGACGGACAGACGGACAGACGGACAGACGGACAGACGGACAGACGGACAGACGGACAGACGGACAGACGGACAGACGGACAGACGGACAGACGGACAGACGGACAGACGGACAGACGGACAGACGGACAGACGGACAGACGGACAGACGGACAGACGGACAGACGGACAGACGGACAGACGGACAGACGGACAGACGGACAGACGGACAGACGGACAGACGGACAGACGGACAGACGGACAGACGGACAGACGGACAGACGGACAGACGGACAGACGGACAGACGGACAGACGGACAGACGGACAGACGGACAGACGGACAGACGGACAGACGGACAGACGGACAGACGGACAGACGGACAGACGGACAGACGGACAGACGGACAGACGGACAGACGGACAGACGGACAGACGGACAGACGGACAGACGGACAGACGGACAGACGGACAGACGGACAGACGGACAGACGGACAGACGGACAGACGGACAGACGGACAGACGGACAGACGGACAGACGGACAGACGGACAGACGGACAGACGGACAGACGGACAGACGGACAGACGGACAGACGGACAGACGGACAGACGGACAGACGGACAGACGGACAGACGGACAGACGGACAGACGGACAGACGGACAGACGGACAGACGGACAGACGGACAGACGGACAGACGGACAGACGGACAGACGGACAGACGGACAGACGGACAGACGGACAGACGGACAGACGGACAGACGGACAGACGGACAGACGGACAGACGGACAGACGGACAGACGGACAGACGGACAGACGGACAGACGGACAGACGGACAGACGGACAGACGGACAGACGGACAGACGGACAGACGGACAGACGGACAGACGGACAGACGGACAGACGGACAGACGGACAGACGGACAGACGGACAGACGGACAGACGGACAGACGGACAGACGGACAGACGGACAGACGGACAGACGGACAGACGGACAGACGGACAGACGGACAGACGGACAGACGGACAGACGGACAGACGGACAGACGGACAGACGGACAGACGGACAGACGGACAGACGGACAGACGGACAGACGGACAGACGGACAGACGGACAGACGGACAGACGGACAGACGGACAGACGGACAGACGGACAGACGGACAGACGGACAGACGGACAGACGGACAGACGGACAGACGGACAGACGGACAGACGGACAGACGGACAGACGGACAGACGGACAGACGGACAGACGGACAGACGGACAGACGGACAGACGGACAGACGGACAGACGGACAGACGGACAGACGGACAGACGGACAGACGGACAGACGGACAGACGGACAGACGGACAGACGGACAGACGGACAGACGGACAGACGGACAGACGGACAGACGGACAGACGGACAGACGGACAGACGGACAGACGGACAGACGGACAGACGGACAGACGGACAGACGGACAGACGGACAGACGGACAGACGGACAGACGGACAGACGGACAGACGGACAGAGACGGACAGACGGACAGACGGACAGACGGACAGACGGACAGACGGACAGACGGACAGACGGACAGACGGACAGACGGACAGACGGACAGACGGACAGACGGACAGACGGACAGACGGACAGACGGACAGACGGACAGACGGACAGACGGACAGACGGACAGACGGACAGACGGACAGACGGACAGACGGACAGACGGACAGACGGACAGACGGACAGACGGACAGACGGACAGACGGACAGACGGACAGACGGACAGACGGACAGACGGACAGACGGACAGACGGACAGACGGACAGACGGACAGACGGACAGACGGACAGACGGACAGACGGACAGACGGACAGACGGACAGACGGACAGACGGACAGACGGACAGACGGACAGACGGACAGACGGACAGAGACATCATCGCGAAAATAGCCAAACCGATTTAGGTGACCTTAAAACGTAAAATTTCGTCGAAAACTCGAGGTCGAAAAAATCATGATTCCTATACTTTCTTTAGCTGTATACTGATATGAAAATAAGAAGAAGGCTTCATTATATAGAGTAGTTAATATATTTGAATGAAGTAGAAGTAAATCTTACTTAGCCTTCTTTAGTGAAATTTTCTTTTTATGAGTTTTTGGCGAAGCTAAAATATTCTTTTTAATCAAAGTTTTATCATTGACTAAAATTCAAAACAAAATTTTTCAAAATGCTTTGAACGCATTTTAAAATATTTTCCTGACCTTAATTTTTTTTATACGATCTTCCAATAGGTAGGTACTCTTAAGCCTTTTATCTAGCAAACAAATGAAAACAAATAATTATTTAACTACACAAAATAATTCATTCATCCTTTCAAAAATAATTGTTAAATACGGATCTCTTGTTTATTTGCTCGGGTGTTAAAAACTTGCTTATAAGAAGTTCTCCTGAATTATTTCATCGGTTTGGACACATTGATACTAAACAGGATTAAACTATTGTTCATGAAACTCTTTAGGAGTCAAAATAACGTTTCAAAACACATAAACTTTGTAATTCGCACAAAAATAGTTAGGGTGTGGTCCGTTAACAGAATTATCGATAAATCGGTACAAAACTAACCGCTCTGCTTCACATTCCTGAAAAATCGTTTAATTAGGGACGTGGTTAACTGAAAATGGTGACTTAAGTGTCAATTCACTAACCGCTATATTTTTACGGTTAATATTAAGTCGAATGTCAATAAAATTAGTTTTTTCAGGAACCGCTGTCAAAAATCCTGGTTACTTGCGGTTAGTAGTCGGTTAATATAGAACCATACCCTTAATTAATAGTGACAATTAAATGTAAAATCTCACGAAACTTTAATAATGCGCAGGCGCTCCACCCCCTTGATATTTACGCTATCATAAATGTTTTCGGATACCAGCTGGAGCAGCATTATCCTCCCCCTCCATATCTATGCATTAAATAAGCCGTTAAATTATTTGACATCGGTATAATAAAACTGAAGTGATTTTTTACCGTTCAAACTTAAAACGATTAAAAAAAATATCTTCACGTTTCCATGGATACGAAAGTTAAATTAATGTCGATTCGAATTTTTACAGGAATTTTACTGCAATAAATCAAAATCAAACAAAATTTAACTATTTGCATTATTAGTTGTACATATGGTTAAAAAATATTGTTTGTATTTCGTGAAAAAAAAAAAACAGTGTTTTACAACGATTTTATAATTAACTCAATTGAATTGACAATCTCATTAATACAAAAATAACTATTTTTTATTCATTTGCAGTGTAGAATTATTTTTTTCATGTATCATCTTTTTATCTTAGGTTATGACCCGGAAATTTCCATTTAAATGTAGCTACGACTTTATTTATGTGTATTAATCACGTACATAATAAATAAATCAAAATAAGAATTTAGGCATAAAAACTAAAAGTAATTAGTTTTAATGACAAATGGTTTCCTTTCATATATCTGTAAGAATATTTCATACCTTCTTAATGAAATTTAATATAAATATCGCAAAGTAAATAAGATAAAATAAATAATTCTTATTCAAAATATCTTGAATGCTTAACAAACAGTAGTAATTAAGTATTTCACCTAACAAAAGAAATCATATCAGTATAGACTTTGTGCGCGATTGACAACGGGAGCCTAAATATATATGGGTGAACAAACGGGTGTAGATGTGGAGGTTAACACCGATATTGCTCCAAGGGGGTTATTTGGAATTAATAAAAATTTGGTTTTATTAAAAGTAACGCTCTTCTTTCTACATGGAGGTTTGTATAAAATTTAGTTGCTATAAGTATCTATGCTATCGATTTTAAGGGGGACGTCACATTTTCAGTTTAATAAGAATGTTTACTTTTACACAAATTTTATATCTATAGATATAACTTTAATAATTTACTGTAGTTTTTATAATGTATCGCATGCAAAAATAGAAGTTAAACTGGATATATACCCCTCAGAGTGGGTTTTATTAACACACATTTTTTGAAACTAACCTCTAAAAGGGTTTACAAAATAAATGTACAGGGTTTTTCATTATATTTTGACCACTACGTATTTTCTAATTCTTGTGAACTCAAAAAAAGTTTCAAGTAAAAGCTTTGTTGTTTTACCTCAACTTTTTCGACCACAGTAAAACCCATTACACAAGCAATCAATTGACAAATTTTAATAAACAAACAACTGTTTCACTTGGAAACATGATTTTCATAGCTATCTATGTGTTATGCTTTCATAGTGCAATAAGTCACTATATAATTAAAATATTATATATTTGTTATCAGGAAACGCAAGTCTACTTAAAATGGCATAAATATAGGGTGTCCCATTAAAAAAATTAAATTATATTTTGTTGGAGTCGTCCTGTATATACAATTCAGCCTGTTATTACATTTTTAGTCGGTACAGATAGAACAACATAGCTTTTACTTAAAACTTTTTTTGTGTTTGCAATAATAATGAAAATAAATAGCGGTCAAATTATAATAAAGAACCCTGTACATACTACACACAATTATTATAAGGTAAAGGTGCCATACCATTTTCAGTAGTAGTTTCAATATCCTTGTTCAATGATTATATTTTATTTTCTATCATCTTAAAAAAATTAATACATAGGTATTTATTCTGGTACGTGAAAACACTTTATAAGACAAAGACAAGACAATGCACAAAAAAGTTTTTTAAAGTAGGCCTAGGAATAATTCACTTACGTTGAGCGTTAATTTTTTTCTTTTTGGGTGTCAGTTTGGATTTAATTCGGGGCCGCGTGTATTTAACACGGACATGACCCGTACCTCTGTTTTTATGGCTCATGTCCTACTTTAGAAAAACATTTTTTGTAATACTCTTTACAATGTTAAAATAGTGCGCAAAAGACCAATGTTTTTTAAAGGGAGTTTTATTATAACAGGCAAATTAGTGCTAAAATTAACAACTATATTTAAATGGGGGGGAGGGAAGGGAGGGGGTGTTCGTTTTAATACCCTTTTTCTTGGGCGTCTGCAAGAAAATATTCAGGGAGCCAATAACAAATCTTCAAATTAATTGACTTTATTACTTTAAACCAGGCCATATACCTTGACGGTCTGTTTCGAGCCTTATTATATATATATATATATATATATATATATATATATATATATATATATATATATATATATATATATATATATATATATATTTACATCTTTCTATCAATCTCAAGCCAATTGGAGATTCTATCAAACCTGAACCACCCAAAAATAATAAAGTTGGATAAGTATATTTAATGTATATTGGAAAAAGAGGGTTTCTTTATCTGTAATGTGAAATGTATACTCTGAATATTTCAGTAAAAAAATGTAATTTTTCTAAAGATTTTACTGGATCTGTGCAATCCTGAACCATTAGAAGATTGATACAATCTTGAACCATTTTATACAGTTTTGTTCACACTAATCGCACAATTCTGAACCTTTGCACAGTTGCCAAATGTAAATTAAGTATGAAATCTACGATTTAGTAATACGAGAATAATTATAAAATCTGAATTCAAATTTAAAATCATTTAAGTTGGACTATGTACTCTTGTGGCTAGGGCAGTTCAAATCGAGATATTGAGAGCAAACTAGATATATGGATGTATTTTCTCATAAATAGGAAATCCGATAAAAAACTTTTTAAATAAAACACTTAAAATCTACGATTTTTCCTTATCTTTGTTATAAAAAAAAATTAACAGGTAAGATAAAAATTAAGTTTTGACATTTTTTAATAAAACAGATTTATAACGCTTTTGTATAAAAATCTTACCCTCACCATCCTATAGAGGGAGAATGGGGATGGAATTCCCAAAATATTAGGTTAAAACTTTTTAAATAAAACAGTTTGAATCTAGATTTTCTACATACACATCCAAAATTCCAAAATTTGGTCAAAATGGTGGGGGTAAATTTTTATAAAAAAATAGTTGAAAATTATGTCTATTACAAATGTACCAAAAATAATAGTTTTATCTCCTCTGTGACGATTTTTAAATGCAAATCCCCACCTTCAAACTATATCAGTTCAGGTCAAAAAAGTCCAAAGACAAGAAATATTTATTTATTATACAAGGGAAAAAAGTTTTAGCTAAAATCTAATATTTTTCCCGTGTATATTACACCATTTCTTTTCTGTGATGGGAAAAACAACGATTTAATATAGAAAAAAATATCTACCTTTACTTCCCGGGGAAACACTTTTCTCTCAGGAAACATGGAAAAAAGTAATTTCATAAAAAGTGACATTTTGTTACCTGACAAGAGAGATAAAATGTTAAACTTTTCTCGTCACAGAAAAACAAGTTTTTTCCCAAAAAAACAAAAAAAAAATATAAATTCGGGTGTATGTATATGGAAAAAGTCGTAGATCCCAACTCTTTTATTTAAAAAGACCTAACTTAATTTACTGGGGATGCTACTCCCTCAATCTCCCTCTAGGGGATGGTGGGGGTAATATTTTTATACAAGAACGTTGTAAATCAGGTGTATTGTAAACATGTCAAAAATAAGGTTTTTATCTCCTATGTAACATATCTTGACTTGAATAGCCCTCAACAATAATCATTTCTTGTCCACGTAGATAATATACTTACTTAAATTTTTTAACTTAATAAATATTATAAAAAAATACATATATTAAAGTTTTAATAATCGTGGTATATATACCTACGCAGCAACAAATTCGTTATTCTCATTAGTCAGAAGAAAAATTTACAGTATTTTATTTTGAAAATAATTTAATGTTTTATTAAAAATGTCTTATTTTCTGTTAGGAATAAGCGACATTGCTAGTTTTGTAAAAACTTGCTTAATAAATTCCTTAAATATTTTTAATTGTAAGTAGGTATTAATAAGATTATTTAACGCTATAATGCATTAACCAATGACAATCATCTTTAATACCAACAGACGCCAATCAACACAAACTGTATATGCATGCTGCAGTGTTTTTACTCAATCCTGATTGTAATTAAAAAATTCAATTCATTAATGATTTGTGCGAAAAGTCAATATGACGTTTGTCAAAAAGGTTGGATTTAATAGTATATTATTAAACGAGCAATTTATGGTAGCCATTATTCACGCAGGGTGAAGTTTGAGTACCGAGTCGTAGGCGAGGGGCGCAAGTCACTCGAATGAATAACGGCCATAAATTGAGAGTCTAATACTATACTTTGTCCACGACCATTATTGTTTCTTTATTAAATAAAAGTTAAGTGTAGAATGGAAAGTTTTTATTAAACATAGGTAACTAACTGTTGTTTTTTCAACTTTTCAATTTTCCGATTTTCCAATTTTTCGAATTTCTGATTTTTCGATCTAGAAAATATCGTTATGAAAAGTATCGGCCATCTTTAGTTATTTACCGGAAATTGCCAGAATTACAAAAGCGTGAATTACCATAATTCACTCTAGTGATATATGGGTACCATATGCTTTTAGTTAGGAGGTAGAATATTGATTTATTATTAAGTGGTCGTGGACAAAAAAATTAATTCATTACCAGAGTAATGTATCAGTGATTTATATGAAAAGCCAATATGAAGTTTGTCAAAAAAATGATGAAAAATGCACAAAAATCGTTTTGATTCTTTAAATATATTTTTTTTACTACTAACATGAGAAATCACCATTATTTACTCCATTCCTCTAATGAGAAGTAATATTTCTCTCCCTAGGTAAATAATGATAATAAAAAAAAAACCTAGGTAAATAATGAAACTAAATTTCATTAGTTTCATTTTGTTAATTTGACAACTAAACTCCCAGACTACTTGATATTTTGAAATATTTGAAAAATAAGTAGGAAATAACTAAAGCTGGGTTTATCAAATCTAATCAAATCAAATATGATAATATATATCAGTGTTAATAGTAAAAATATATATTAACTAGGAAATTCAACACCGGCTTTAAAAATTATTAATTAATAACAATAAATCCATGTCATTAAAATATCAAAAATGCAATGGGATATTTCCTAGAATCATACCAAAATTTGACACATGCCAAATTTTTACATAAATAAAGCCAGTCTGATTAGAAACACGCTCCAGTCTGCTTGATATTTCGAAATATTTAACAAATTGTTAGGAAATTACTTATGTCAAAATTAAAATTGCTAATACATTAATGTTAGTAGTAAAAAAAATTCTATATATACCTCGGCTGAGAAAGCTATTATTTACCTCGCACATTATATCCCTCGGCGCTACGCGCCTCAGGATATAAAAGTGCTCGGTAAATAATAGCTCACTTCTCACCCTAGGTATATAATGTACTATTAAATACAGAATCGACTACAGCTTATGAAACCAAAGCAAATGTTTATGAAAGTTCTGTTTATATTGTTAAATAATCTTTTCAAACACCACGCGAGGTAAGAATTTTTTTTTAAACATTTTGTTGTTTCCTTACAAATTATGCAAATTTCACTCCCGTAATTTTAAGGAGGATTTTGTTTCGTAAAATTTAGACGCATTATTTCCAGAAACATAAAACTGTTCTCAAAAAAAGGTTCACCTCTTGAGGTATTACCATTGATAATTACTTATGGAGCCATGGAAATTGTTTAGTCGTTGATTGTGATTTATCCAAAAATTAAAAGATAAGCAATAAATTCAATAGCTAATACTAATATTGTTTTATTAGTAAAAAAATAAAATAAATAAAAACAACGGAAGAACAGGTAGCTCAGTAAAACACTACTTACTTACTATTATACTAGTAAAAACATACTTATA